AAATAAAAACCGCCTTCATTTGTGTAAACCAATCTCACTCATCCATTTTCTTGATCAATGGTTAAGATTAATCAAGGTTATTTAAAGAAATTAAAAAAAATTGAAAATACATTTTATAATACCGATAAAGGCAAAAGGGTAAAACCAAATATTCATTTATTCAAGGAAATCATATCATGTATATYATATTATTAATGAAACTAATCTATTTTTTGTAAAGTAATTTATTATTTTTATGTTAACATTTTTATAATAACATTTATTATTATTAATGAAACTAATTTATTTTTCATCTTGCAATTATTCATGATGAACCACCTACTTTATGCACCCGTTTCATTTTTCATTTCATCTACTGAATGGATCACCTACACCATCACTGAAACGGGTTTCACCATGAAAGCAGTTCACCACTCATTGCTCAATTACGTCATGAACAAGTTTCACCTTCATGAAACATGTTTCATGTAAATTAATTTTTTTTATTTCACTCATGATTTGATACATTCTTTCATTTACTCCTTACAATCTTCAAGATTCTGGAGCAGATTACAATCTTCAAGATCCCGAAGCAGATTCATCATGTACCCGTTTCATCATGCAATTATTTCAGGACGAACCAAATAAATTATGCACCCGTTTTATCTTCCATTTTTTCTACTAAACGGATCAACTACACCATCACTGAAACATGATTCACCATGAAATGATTTCATATTACTTATGAATCATTTACAACATGACCCAGTTTCACTTTTATGAAACATGTTTCATGTAAATTAATTTTTTTCACTCATGATTTGATGCATTTTTTCCTTTAATCCTTACAATTTTCAAGATTCTGGAGCAGATTACAATCTTCAAGATCCCGAAGCAGATTCATTATGTACCCGTTTCATCATGCAATTATTTCATGACGAACTAAATAAATTATGCACATGTTTCATGTTCCATTTTTTCTACTAAACGGATCAACTACACCATCACTGAAACGTGGTTCATCATTAAACGATTTCATATTACTCATGAATCAATTACAACATGAACCAGTTTCACCTTCATTAAATCTGTTTCATTAACATTATTTTTTTAATTTGAACCACAATTTACGATTTCATTCTATAATGCAATTCAATCTTCAAGACCCGTTTGCATATTCAATCTCACAACAATATATCAAATTCAATTTTTTTAATATTATAATATAATTAAATATTTAAATGTTACCATTTATACAATTTCCTTTATTACGTTTTCTTAATTAAGTTTATTAATAACTTTCATATTTAATAGAAAATACTGTAAATGACCGAAATACTCTTATTGATTAAATTTAATTAGAAAAAAATGAAAATTTTCTATTGATCGAAATTGGTTTACACGGTTTCTTAGAAATGCACAATTTTCATTTGAACCTGCCCCTATATATATATATGATTGAAACCATCTTTTCCAAAACCTTCTCCGAAATGGAGAGAGAAACTTAAATTCTCCAGATTTGAAGAACTATGAGAAATTATATTTTATTACCAATAAGGGTGGCGTCTGATTGGTTTGAGCTTAGGCTCCAAATGTCAAAAGTGTCTGGAGGTCCCAGGTTCAAATCCAATGAGAAATAAAAATCCTCTTGTGACCACGAATGTTCAAATGCGGTGACTCCGGGCTACTCGCAAAGTAGGTGGGCATCATGGAACTAGTCGGCTCGCATAGCGGGTTGAATATCCAGGTTAATAAAAAAAATTATATTGTATTATTTCCATCAATAAGAATATTTGAAAATAAATATCTATGAAAGAAAACTAATATTTAATAAATATATTGAATTTTTTAATAATATCATTAATGTTGTAAAACAGAGAATCCATTAGAATTGAATGTAAATTTTAGAGAAATTTTGAAGAATCTGTTAAAGATGCTATTAAATATTTATATTAAATTATAATAAATAATAAACAAATTCAAGATGGTATTGTAGTATCGTGGAATAGGATACCTAATCTCGTGTACCAACCAAATATGCATACCTGGTATGGTACTACTCACTGATTTAGATGTTGTTTGATTGGTTTTTATTAAGTCTTGTATGAATAAAATTGTCTGAGTGGATTAATCTGTCTGTATAGATTATGAATGTTTTTTGTTCGGAAAGATTTTTTCATAGATGGAAAAAGCTTAATTGAGAGGGGGCAGGTTTGGAAAAAACTTGAGTTTCTACATAAAGTTTTCCCTAAAAGCTTACTGAACAAGTCACTTTTTATATCATTAAGCCACTATCAAGCAGTCATGTATAGCTCAGTGAATAAGCTGTGAATCTCATTAAGCTGCTAACAAATATGTCGTTAAATTGATATCTATCAAGTTGGTACAAGTTCAACTAGTATA